CTCTTCAACAGGAACTCTACAAAATGCTGTACGGTTGACATCCATACGTGTGTCTGTGTCTGAGCCAGGACCCCACCTGCCCATTAGCCACCTGGACCACTCAGGCCCTGGATGAGCTGGCTGGAGGGAGACAGTGCACATGCGGGCAGAAGGCTGGGATGGAGGAGCCAGGCTCCGGCAACTCCATAGGGGGAGGCAAGACCTGCCAAGTGGAGGCCAGGTGGACCACCCAGGATGTGGGCAAGGCTGGGGGGCATTTTCATGGCTGCTATGCGCACACATCACTCCCAGCAGCATGGTTTCAATCACCTTGACAGGAAAGCCTCAGTTGGAATCTGGGCTGAAGATGCTTTGTTTTTCTTGCCAATCAAGTCTCTTGCTTCTGGCTAGGGGTAAGAAAGGTTTCAATAGTCACAGCTAGAAAGTTTGTCAGGAGTTCCTGGAAGATGTGTAAGTTCTCTATGGAAATAGAGTGAGTTAAATGAAAAATAATTACTCAGCAGGATTCTCAGGACTGTCTGATTCTATGTCCTCAAAGCTTCAGGTCATAAAATGTGTAAATGCTTTAAGATAGCTATTGTGATACAGGGACGGTAAGCCTGAGAAGAGTCCTAAGAGGTAATAGCTAAAATGTGGTTACACACTGCTCTACCGTGATATTTACAGGTTGGTACGGGATCCATCTTGACCTAGGCTTTACCTTGACCCGTTCTTGGCCCAACTGAGTTCAGTGCTTCAGGGACCAGATAGGAACCGTCTCTTCGAGCAGACTGATAGAAGCTTGTCCTGGCTCATGTTTTTGGCACATAAAAAGCTCATTTGAACTAACATGTTTCCATTTGGTGATACTTGAAATGTATTTTGCTTTCCCCCAGGGTTCTCATGAAACATTGCCTTCGCATTTAAGCAATTCATGCTTCTGAGGCCAAGCAAACAAAATTGCCAAAGAACAACAGTTTCCAGGTTTCACTTAGGAAGAAATTTCTTTTGGTCCTTTTAACAATGGATTTAGTTACTAGAAACCCGAGTGCAAGGTTAAAGACTCCATGTGCTATCTGTTAGCACTGCCCTTCACCTTTTGGGCCTGTGCCCTAGGGTTGGCCACACAGACTCTTTATCTTGGGCCAGACTGAGGTTTCTGAAGTGTGACTCAGCCTGGGGATTAGGGCCAGGCAGAAGAGATCTTTGTTTCTAGTCTGGTTTTTCCCCAGGAGGAGGAAGTTCCCCCTCCTGACTCTACTCTGTCACCATTTATGACTTCTGCTGGGGCTCATTTATGAGCCCAAGTTGGGTCCCTGGATCTCTTCTCAACTCCATGCCACACCCCCTCCCGGGGTTTGCTTACTTCACAGCTTCTATGCAGTGACTCCAGCATTGTAGCACCAACCTCCTTCCTGAGGACAGAGTTCCATGTCCAGTTGTTTGCCAGTTACATGGTCCTGCAACATTTCTAATCGGCATCTCTAAATTGGACTGTTGGTGGATTCCATTTTTCTCACCTTGGCCCCTCTTGAGTAATTAAATCTGTGCAGTCAGCCGATCGCCCTGAGTTCTCCCTCCGTTCTTTCTGCTCCTCACCTTGCAGGCCCTCATAACTGATCAGCTGGACTACTGCAGTATCTACTCTCCTTCTAGTCTCCCTGCTTCCTGAGTCTTGAAATTCTTTACTGCAGCTTCATGGATCCCATGAACACACAACTCTGAACATATTGCTTTCTTGCTAAAAGGTTTTACAGGGCTTCCCACTTCTGTAACAAATGAAGGACCCATTCCTCATCCTGAAATGAAAGCTGTTTTCAAGATGGGCCTCTTTAGGAAAAGGATGTCATTCTCTTTCCATATGCTATGTTTTAGCCACCAGGAGTACATACTCCTTTTTTGACCTCTGGGCCTCTTCTGAGAATCTGTTCCCTGGAATGTCCAAATTCCCATTCCTACCTCCACTGGTTGCATCCCCAATCTCCAGGCTTATCTCATCTGCTACATCTCCCCTCCCCCCTTGCTGAGACCTTGACACACTGAGGCTTCAGTTATCACATGTGTTTATCAAAGATATACATATTTTTTATTTCAATTAACTGTGAGCTGTTTGAGACTCTGGTGAATGAAGCCTGGTATATCTGCTAACCTGTGGATGAATACAATACTCTATGTTCCCCAGCCCTGAGTTCTAGCCACTTCTGGCCCACGACAGCCTCGCTTTCCCTACTCCTCATTTTAATCAGACACAAGCAATAAATTTGGCATGGAAAGAACTACTGCCTTCCCCAGCTCCCACTGATTTTATATTTTGTTGGAGGCAAAAGCAAATTTCCAGGTCAACATCAATTTAGAATTTTTTCTGCCAGTTGGAAAAGAAAAACTTTAAAAAAGACATTTAACTTGGTGGTTTTTTTTTTAAACTTGGGAAAAATTTGAAAGCTATTGCCTTTCAAGGAAACAGGATACTTAAAACATACTCACAGACACATACACACACACACACAAAACTAGCCTGGCTTTATGTAGTTCAATCCTGTCAAACTAATCTAATCTTTTCTGACAGAGCAGCAGACTTGGTAGGCCAAGGAGGAAAACAATAGTTGGAACTTACCTTTGCTGGCTGTGAAACTTTTGATTTCTGGGTCCCCCTCAATATGATTATCATTAAACAGGATGAAAGGTCAGAGAGAGGGACAGGTCAGTGCTGGAGGGTGGGGGAGGGGAATAGAAGTAGTGATTCCCTGGGGGTCAGCCTAAAGCCCAGGATCCCTGAGCACTCCAGTGAATGGGTCAGATGACAGAGAAGAGAACAAATTTAAAGTCAGCATTAATGTCAAGGTGTATGTTCAGGGGAGTCAGTACAGGTAACAACCAGCCAGAGACAACCCTGCAATTACATAAGTGATCAACACAAGTATGTGGGCTCAACTAGAAGAGAGTTCATGTTTAGGAATAAAACAACAGTACAGACACATGCATGTCCACAAATCAGCTTAGTATTATGCTAACAATATGAAACCGAGATGAAAAAAATGCAACATGTAGGAAGATTCTTGCAGTTCTAAATTTGGATGAACTTTATCCCTTTCCAAACTCCACAGCTTAAGATGCTAAAGAGAATTTGCACAACATTGAAGGCAGAGCCCCAGAAGATATTAAACTGGGCTTGGACATGGGAACGACAGACTTATACAAAAAACTTAAATGAAATTAGGTTTATTGAACTTGGAGATGGACAATTTTATAAGGGCAATAACAAACAAAAATAGTAATAGTAAGTTTAGATTCCAACACATGAGAATAAAATCAATGTAAAGAAGACTTTCCTTAGTTTTAAGGTTGATAAATGGGCCGTTAAATTCAAACAGATTTTCGTAGGGTGGTTTGTATGTGCTCCAGGCTAGCTGGGAAGCACACCAGGAAAACCTGAGAACTGCTGTCTACACGTCACATTGTTATGAAACTACTTCAAAGTACTTATTTAAATCCATAATTGAAAATTAAGGGGCAGCCAGTCCCTCCATTGTTATGATGCCTTCAAGGTGCAGTTATCGTTTATGAAGAGAAATCCAGACAATGAAGCTCTTCCTCAAGACCAGTGTTGGGAACATTAGCAGCAAACCAAGACCTTTCCCAAATGTGGATTCAGTGCAGCTCTGATCTGTGGTGCAGCCAAGCTAACACAGGTAATGAGCTGTGTCTTTGTTTTCCTACCTGCTATATAAGCAATTCCTTGCCAAAGTATCTGGTTTTAGGTAGATGGTAACATTGGAAAATTGAGTGTATGGTGCCCCGCCCTGATTGTGATATGTTCCCAAATGCTACCCCATTCAAATATTTTTAACTAAAGCAGGATATGACATGGAAAGAACACAATGATTTTCCTTCCAAGTTGCTGATAACTAAAAATCACACAGCCAGTGTTATGTAAGTTAATTCTTTAAATTTAATCAGCCCTTTATAAAACTTCCCAATTAGTAAAAGTTGGCTTGTTTTAATAGCCTTAAACATTGGTCACTATTTAAACAAGACATTCTAAAAAAAAAAAAAAAAAAAAAGCAATCACATAATAGTTCATAGTAATTTACAAGTGGATGGTATACATTTAGATACAGAGGTAGAAGTTCACTTTTACGTTTCACTAATACACATATACCAAATTCAAGGCACAAAATAGTTTGTTTTACAAAAAAATACTGTAAAAATGTCATTTGCTGTTCTATAATGTGAATAAACCTTCCAAAGTAATCTTTATACCCTTCCTTACATACTTCATAAGATTTTTTCCCCTCACTAATCATAGTTGGCACAAAAATGGAGACTTCTTAATGAAGCTCCCACTTTTAGAAACTGTTTCTTTGCAGAGCTGCTATGTACTCTAGATAGGAGTCCACCCCAAAACATGAACGATAGCAACTCCTGAGGAAAGGGCACTTTCTATATGTATATGCAGCAAAATTCATAGGTAGAAAATGTATGATCTTTTTGGATAGTTAGGCCTCCAGACACTTAATGAAGTATTTCAGAGATTAAATGTAAAAGTCAGCAATACTTCAGTCATTACACGTTTAAGAAAGAGACCTTGTCACCTTCATTGTAATGCTCAGACCTTATTCACTTCAAACTGATAGAGATCTCAAAATTCCTTTTTAAAAGAGCTGAACATACAAATCCCATGAAAAAGCCACACTTTGCAAAAGGCTTTACAAAACTGGAACTTAGAAAACATGACAAAATATAGCACTATCAGTCCTTGAAGTTGCAAGGATGTCAGTTGGCTAGAATTTAATGACAAGAATGAATAAACTCTATGGGAATTTAGAAAAATCATACACATGAAACACACTGTAGTTATCACTTCTAGACTTTCTTTTCATTAAAAAAATAATGATAGTCCAAAGATGTCATACAGTGCTTGTCTAAAGACTGGACTGGTTCTAGGGTCCTGTCTAAAAGGACCCTGTTGGCAATAACCTAAGCTCATTTTTACTGATCACATTTTCCATGTACTCTAGTCAGTTAATTACACTTTATTTTTTTAAAAAGTTGATTAAAAAAAAAATCAACATGGGGTTAGAATTCAGAGACTGTCATAATGCTGATGTGCACTGAACTGAACCATCTTGATCATCTTCTGATAGAAATGATATTCCATACAAAAAGATTCTTAGATTCCATTTTTTGCTTCATTATTGTTTGAGGCTTGTTTTCTTTGAGCAATAAAGGGGTACATACACTTGTCTGCTCCTAGGAACCGATACATGCACACAACTGCTTCGAATGGAAGGATGCTGAAAAGGAAAGTCACAATTAGCAAATCCCAAATCTTGTGTTCACAAAGATCTCAGGGCAGGCAGGGAAGGAACCAATCAATGAGGGTGCCCCTTGCAGTTACCTCTTCATGAATGTCACGATGTACATGAGGCGGGGGGTGCAGACCATGGGCTGGTCAGTGAGGATGGCCTTCATGGCCTGCTTCACACAGTAGTCAGGCTTCAGTGGGGGCAAAAATGGCTCAATTTCTTTTCTGAAAGATATATGTTCCAAGTGAAATTAAGAAATTAATGCATAAGGAAGACTGAAAATACATATCAAAATATTAGCTATGATGTCATCTAAGTGATAAGATTTGGGGTACATTTTGTTTTCTTTATGGCACTTTTCCCAAATTTCTTACTATGCATACACTTTATTTGCACAATCTGGAAAACAAGGAGAAAATAAGCAAAATTGGCCTGCTTTTCTGTAAAGTGAAAAAAATCATGTTTTTATGATGCCTTAAGATATATTTCAAACTATTTTTCTATTTTTTTCCATTGAATAAACCCCAATAAGAGGTGAACCTTAGAGTATTGGGTGTAGTTAGGAGGATGTTAGTAAACACTGGCATAACCTGGTCTAGTGAAGTAATAGGTGCATACTTTTTAGGATGCCTCATTAGGGAGACTTAGGTGTATTCTCAGGAGCCTCTGAAGGTCACACAGACTTCCTGCCTTCAGTTTAATTCATTAAGTTCCATGTTAAATACACAAAAAGTCAACTTATTCCTTTACTCTTCATTGCCCCACCATAGCTTTGGGTGCTGGCACCTGTCACCACGCTCAATAGGAAGCAGAGTTCCTCAGGACCCTCAGCAACTGGCTCTACTCACATAAGGACAAGCCAAGCTAGATGAACAGCCACAGGGACACATGTAGGGCACAAGCACACACATAAAGAGGCAGAGCTACAGTTCATTTCTCGCTGTCTTTGGTGCTGGAGATGGAACCCAGGGCCTGGTATATACTAAGCATGTACTCCACCACTGAGCTACATCCCCAGGCCTTAGAATTCATTTCTCAGACCAGACTTGGCACCAGCCCGAGATTGGGATGACTCAAATCCCACTTCACTATTTGCCTGGTACAGTGTGTATAAAGAATGGCCCATAACCAATTAAGAATGGGTTGGGTTATCTTCCCTTTGCCTTGCAAATGCACCAAGTAAAGATCTCAAAGTCAGCATGTCTTCATAAGTATCCTCTTCATGATTCATGGTTGTGTTTATTTTGTGGAGCTCAAGTCAGATGTAACTTGACATTTGTATTCCCATATGCCTCTTTTCTAAGGGTGTGAGTATTCCATTTTATTTTTAGTAAATCTAAATGATTCTTCTCATTCTGTCAGGATGAATCTAGCTAAATACACTTGCTGCAAAAAGTTTCCAAATCTGGAGAGTGATATTCAAAGTCCTTTTAGAAGAAAGACATGTTACTCCTCTGTGACAATGATATTGTTTGTTTTACGTCCAAACTAAAGGCACCTCAACCATTGTTCTCCTGGAGCACTTATTCACCAACATGAGAGAAACAAAATAACTTAAGGACCCAGCTTCTAAGAAAAATCCTGTGTATTATATTTTCTCCTTGAAGGTGTAAAGAAGCCAATTCCTATTTGATGTGTCTAAATTAATTTCTGTAAGTTAATATCAGTATGGTACCAGTCCCTTGCTTATCAATCTTATACACTAATTTTATAAATCTTGACCAAAGAAAACTACAGGTTAATTGTCAAATGACATTTAAAATGCAGATCCAATTCTATACATTCTCTCAATGTTATTTTGTTTTAACAGTAATAAGATATGTTCCCACTGACCTGATTCGGCAGCCTCTGAACATGCCAGTGTCTACAAGGTAAGGACAAACCAAGGTAGTTTTAATTCCATCCTTTTCCGCAGCCTTTAGCTCATGGCTCAGGGATTCGTGAAAACCCACAACTCCAAATTTACTGGCACAGTAATCCTGAGTTGAAGGGGAGAGAAAACAGAAATGCTAAGTATATGTACAAATCTACAACCAACATAAAGCTTCCCTGGTCGAACTGCTAGTTTGATATTTGTTATAAAAGGCTGCAGGTAACCAAGCAAAGAAAAGGAAGCCATTTTAAAAAGACATATCTGCTGTGGTTCAGTGCAGAAATAATATTTTCAAGGCAACAGCAGAAACAGATGAACGCTTTTTGCCTCATCAAGTTAAGTATCATATTACTTTGGGGAAGTTACCACAAAGGAGTCCATGAAAGCTAACAGGCTGAAGCTAGAAACGCAGAGAGGTTCACTTTGAAGTGTCTGGAAAATTTACAAATGGTCTCTTGTTCAGTGAAGGAGACTGAAAAACCTGTTTGTTTAAATTAATACAAGAAGAACAAAGGCAAGTCTAGCTCAGGTTATAAGTTATGATGCTCTTTCACTTTAGGGTGAGGTTAAAATGAAGATAATAATCATATCTTGTAAACTTAAACTGGAACTTAAACTAAGGGCACACAATCCATGATATAAAGTTCTTGTCCATGACCCAATTTTAAATTTTGGAATGGAAAGATAAACCTTTTGAATGCACAAATTTATTCTGTATCCCTTTGCATAGATACGCATGGAGTTATGTTTTCAATTTTATAGGTATCCATGGGACAAATGGCACAGAACAATATATGTATGCACACACTTCTTAATTTTAACATGGTTAAGAGCAGGGTTTGATGAAGCCCAGTTCTACAAAATTACAATGCAGGCACCTGATACCAGCCATCAGCATCTGATGAATAATAAAGGGTAGCTCACTTTTGGCAAGTTAACCAAAACAGAATGTGAACTTTTGGCCTCATTTATCTGTTCCTCATGGCACTGCCATGTCCCTCCATGGTTCCATTCTTGATGCTGTGCCTCCCACTATTACCAAGTGAAGCTGTTAATGAAAATGGGCCATGTTGTGGACTGGTCAATTTACTTCTCTTGCTGCTGCTACCTTGTTAAATTAGTATCGTTATTTTATGGCAGAAGATGGCGAACGTGTGCAGCAGGTAGGTACTCTTAAGTTGTATCCATCGCAAGATAAACTGAGTGAATGACAAACCTCAACTCCAGCAGTACTGAACAATCCCAAGGAACTTGCAACTGTCACAATGTGTCCGTGATTAATCTCCAGCATCGTAGGAAGAAAGGCCTTAGTGGTCTGAAAGAAAAGCGAGATTCAAGTTTTAGAAGTGACATTACATATTTCCTCTAAAACCCAAGATCACAGAACAAACTTTGGGGCATACAATGTTACACTTCCTAATTCATTTAAAAATATTTTACATTCATCAAAAAGAGAAACTCCTTTAAGTGTCTGGTTAACTTAGCACCATATCATTTAGCATGGCAGGCCTATTATAAACCATGACCAACAAGACTGCTTTTGGGGATGATGTCCAGAGATGAAAAGAAAGCCATTAGTAGAAAGCTCTTTATCGCCTTTCAAGTGGTAGTTATCTAATCTAAACTACTCCCAGGTCAGAGATCTTTCTATGCTCCTAACACTTTGGGATGGCCATCTCTAGCTTACCTACTAGCAGGTGCCTTGTATTAACGTTTTCCTTATGGCTATGTGTAAATGGTGACAAACCCATGAATGAAGAGTCATTCTAGCATCATGCTGCAGCATCTAAAGGCTTATTGTCAAAATGTACTAGAGGAGGTGAAATATTTTAGGATGTAAAAATTGGTAAAAGCACAGAACCATTTTAGTGGGGGAGAAAAAGTGTCATGACACTAATGCTACACCGGTAAGAACTTGTAGTATTCTGAAGCATCACACTCCATGGAGGGGGTCCCTGAGAGGACTCTCCATAAAGGCAGAAGACTGACCACTTGGGATACAGACTCTGTGGCAGGTCCATGGAGGTGGCAAAATCAAAGGTGGTACTGATGTCTTACTCACTAAACTCTTTTTTCCCCTCCTGTCTCTTCACTTCAAAAATATAAAGCAGTACTTAAAAAAAGATTCTTCAAATTGCTTAAGATGATCTATTAACTATTCCACCAGACTCCCAACAGTTTTATAACTTGCTTCTTAAAAGAAAGCAGCAAAGAGCAATCTGTCTACTGTTGAGTTATGGTCTTCTGCCAACACAGCTTCCCATGATTTACGAAGTTAAGAAACAAAACACTACACAGCTGACTAAAAGAAGAGTTGCATGTCCTTCTTAGAGGATTTCCTGGCTAAGGTATCACCGAGTTTGTACATGGATTTCTAGTTTGTTATGATAGCTTTCACATGTACAAGATCAAAAGCAGTGATCCCATTAATTCTAAAGTTTTTCCATGCTCCAATCAATGGGACAGTTGCCAGAAGAATCTTTGTAAAGTGTCTCAAGGTTTGCCTCCTGGGTCATCACATAGCACCCCTACTCCCTAACTCAAGCTTATTTTCACCTGTTTGGTTTTTTGTTGTTTTTTTTTTAGTGGGACTAAATTTGAATTCATGGCTTCAAGTTTACAAAGTAGGTACTCTACCAGTTCAGTCAAACCTCCAGTCCATTTTGCTTTGGTTATTTTGGAGGGGGTGGGGGGAAATCTCTAGAACTATTTGCCTGGGCTGGCCTAGAACCTTGATCTTCTACTCTCAGCCTCCCAAGTAGCTTGACCACCAGTTCCTGCCTTCACCTGTGCATTTTTATCCATGAACTCTCCTTTGATAATCTACTCCCATTCTGGTCCTGTATAAGCCAAAGGGTGATAGTAATTATGCATTTATATGGTTTTTATGCTTTTCAAGTACTTTATATTAATTCTATCAATGGAGTCTCCCAATAATTCTTTTTCTTTTTCTTTTTTTCCAGTGGTATGAGAGTTTGAACTCAGGGCTTTGCGCTTGTTAGGCAGGCACTCTTACCACCTGAGCCACTCTGTCAGCCCTTTTGTGTGGTGTTTTTTTTTTTTTTTCTGAGATAGGGTTTTGAGAACTATTTTCCCAGGGCTGGCTCCAAATCGCAATTCTGATCTCTGCCTCCTGGGTTTACAGGATTTCTTTTCATTTCTTTCTTTCTTTCTTTCTTTTTTTTAACACTGTTAGAGATTGGACCCAGAGCCTTGTGCACTAAGTACATACTCTGCCACTGAACTACAAGCCCAGGCTGCAGTACTCAAACTTACTCTAGACTAGCTTGACTTTGTTTTTACTTCTTTAAGACATACAGTCAGTTCCACTCACCTTCACATATAATTATGTGTTTTATGGTGTTTTGATTTTGATTGTTTTAAACTTATTTGTCTGGATGTCCCAGACTAAGCTGGAAGACATGAGTCAGTCTTCCAAATGTTAAGATAGAACCACACACTGTGACGGGTGCTGTGGAGGAGAGCAAGGGAGCACACCTCTCATGACTGCATGGCCCAGCACACTGCTGCTGTCAAAGACACAAAGGTTTCAGCTCAACTGTGTTTCTTGGTAGTGATAAATAATAATAGGGCAATGATAACAGTAATTAGTATTTTGGTCTACCTGATTCCCAAAAAAGTCAAGAACTGGTTCTTCAGGTCATTAAAGTTCAACTTTAGACCCCATAACTTACATATGGCCATTATATCACAGAATTGAAATAAAGTGATATCACAAAGAAACTTATGTATTCCAACCTAAACTAGAAAACATATCTTCCACCCCCCCCACCCGTGGCAGAACTGGGACTTGAACTCAGGGCCTTATACTTTCTAGACAGGACTCTACCACTTGAGCCACTTTGCCAGTGAAAACATATCCTTAAATAAAGTCTGTAAGTCTTTTTTTAAGTATCTGGTTTAGAGCAATTGTTCTCAGATTAGCTAAAAAGTGTAAAATTTATTCTCAATGCTACCAGAGATCATTTCTAAGGACAAATACTACAGTGGGGTTATGTCTCAATAAGCCTTTCATAAATTTAAAATCTCATAAGTGCATTTAATACACCAAGCCTACCAAATACCATGGCTTAGCCTGGCCTACCTTAAACACACTCAGAGCACTTGCATTAGCCTATAGTTGTAATCAAGACAGGATCACACCACATTCCATCACTAACCTGGTAAAAGATCAAAATTCAAAGTACAGTTTCTACTGAATGTACTAGCATTTTTGAACCATCACACAAAGCAAAAAAATCCTAAGTTGAACCACTATAAATTGGGAAGGATCATCTATATTAACAGTCTGACTAATGTTGAAAGACAAAGATGAATTTAATATGCAGAATCCTTTTTATCCTTTTAATTTAAAAATTTCTTTATATAGAATTAAGTATAAGAACTTAATATTAAATCCTAAGAAACCACATACAATCTAAAATGCCAGTAAGAACTTGCTACTTGGCTACCTGACAAGTGTGAATCACTGACCACCTTGCTTACATGGCCAGTGTCCATTCTAACGCCAGCAGCAGCTGGCTGACTGGAAACTCATGGACAACATAGTGGGTCACGGATAATGAATTCCCCATATTCCTGCAAGCTATGGTCCTGCTTGCAGGTGTTATGCAACTAACAGGTGATATTAGTTAATGGAGGACCAACAAGTTCCTGTGTTTTAAGTTTAATTTGTTGTAAGTATCTGAAACTTATCCACTGAACAAGCAATTCTTGGATACCTATTGTACTGTTCTGTCATGATCTGGCCATACAATGATAGGTAAAAAAGGGGTTGGTCTCATTCCTGTCTCTAAGCGGAATTTATACTTACCCGCATTTAATTGGCTTAAATCAGTACATCAAATGTAAACCAGTTCTAGTTTATTTCTCGCATAATCAGGATGCTGTGGGTGCTATTTTTTTTTTAAATGTGATTTGAGTTTTGATTCTGCTCCTGTTTCTACCTTAGCCCCAAAGTTGTTAAACTATAGATTGTATAGTAAAAGGAAAAAAGAAAACATAAAAAGAGAAACAAAAGAATCTAAAGGTGGTTATAGTCTTTCCCAATTGTGTTACAAGTATGTTTCAGAGAAATACTTTTGTAGCCAGTAAAGTGTAACACAGTTGGCTTTTTTTTTAAAATAAGCTTTCTTTTGAGATGGAGTTTTAAAAACATTTTTAAGTAGTAGGGGTCAATGCTCAATGTATGTATGTATTTATTTTTGGCAGTATTGGGGGGTTGATCTTAGGGCCTCTTACTTGCTAGGACGGTGTTCTACCACTTGAGCTACTTTGCCAGCACTTAGTGTTCAATTTAAACACCTGATTTCTTTGCTTTAATCAGGGACAGCTTTGGCCTTTTGAATAAATGAAATCCAATGTGTCTTTGCATTGGAGAAGCTGGTGTATGATCTTTATTTAGAAAGGTGCACCAGCCTATGCTACAATTACTACACTAACTCCTAACAATGTCAGCAAACATGCTGTTGAGGAACCCAGGATATGAAGTAAGTCATCTAGGGCTATATAGTCAGCCTTGGAACCCAGACTTCTTGTTTTCCAAAGTTTGAATCAAACACATGGGTCCTATTCTGCTGACCAAAGACAAGCTTGAGAAAAAGAGCATCACATCAGGACCACCTGGGTTTCTTTCAAACCTGTACTGAAGAGTTCTGCCGGAACCTAGCACATGTGATTCTCCCCAAGGCTGTTAATCATTTCCTTGCTGCCTGAATAGATGTGAACAATTATGCTTGTGCATTATTTCCACAAGCAACTCCTGCCTGCAGCCTGGGGTGCATTATTAAATAAACTTTGATCAATGCTAATTCTATTCCTTACATTGCAAGAAAAATGCTATAAGTGAGTGACTAGAAAGCATCACATTTTCAAGAATTTTTCCAAGTAACTTGACTAGTTTTCCTTTGTAATTACTCTTGCCCTCAACAGTCTGGTAGATGACATCTGAGATAGCACAGCATATTCCGTCCTTGACACAGCTTGACAGCACAAAGAAACTTGGCACTTTGCAATGAATTATTAATGTGCACAAATATTGTAGCAGGTATGAGGTGGGGACCAGCAAAAGGTGAAGTGCTAGTTGCCATGACACCAGTCAGTTCAAGCTGAGGTTCTGATCTTTAACTTTGTCTCAAAGAGATGTTAGAAGAACATAAACGGCAAACCTGAACCGCACACCCAAACAGCTTAAGCATAAATTCATGCATGTGCTGCCATGGGGGATCTGAAAGGAGCAACTCAGATAATTCATTGACCACCAGGACTGCTACATTAGATCATCTGTAAGGATGG